TTCTTTTAACGTACTTAATTGTTTTCCGATAAATTTTCCCGAAACAGCGCCGAATAAAGTTTCATATCTGGGACAATTATTAAAGAAGATTTCTAAGACCAGTAAAAGCTAGGTTAAAACACGCTTACAAGAAATTTCGAAAGTGAAAAGCAGAATTTGGTTGGTTGGATCTGTGGTCAGAGCTATAAAAATTATTATTAAGGTACTAAGACTTGCGTTGTTATGTATTTTTGAGCCCAAACTACCGTCTAGATGGTGGCAGTTCGACCAATTAAGTATTGTACAGTACCTCACAATCTTTTTCTTTGGAGATATCGTTGTCATACCGCTATGTCCTTAAGGTATGAACTGTTAATCCTTGAATCCGTATGGATAGATAATGTCGAGATTGAGAGAGAAGAAGTTAAAACAACTTGTTAATGTTAACTTTTATTTACGTTCTGAACCATAGTTCTCTTTAGACGCCGTTCTCGCCCTTATTATCAAGGTCAATCGACCAGTACACATTAATGTTATATAATATCGAAACATAAATGATATATAAATACATAAGAAGTTTTATATGGAGTTTTATCTATCCATGCCGGATGACATTCCCCCTCATCGGGAAAATGATGAAGTTTAATTGAGTTTTCAAGTCCCCGTGGGACTGTTTGGTCTGGGTATTCATTTCTCCCCTCTTGTTTTTTCGGTGTTGTTGTCGATGTTGTCATCTATTGTTCCGTGTTCTTCTTCATTATTCGGTTGTTCGTCTACTTGTCCTTGCTTTGTCTCTATGTCTTTTGTGTTAACGCAAAATATGTCGTCCTTTTCTATCGTTTCATTTTCTGCTTCCGCTGGTGAAGTTAGATCTATCACATTGTTTGTGGTGCTTGTTTTGTGTTTCGGACTAATAGCCTGTATAAATTGCACACAAGCTTTATATTCTGGAGTTGATTCGGACCATATTGATTTCCACACTTGAAACAATGTTTGGAATTTGTGTATCGTTGTTGTTGATATTGCTGACCCCTTGTGTTTTGTGATCCACGTGGATACGGTCGGCCGCGAAAATCGCCCCGACCTCGCTGATTGTTCTGGTTGTACTGTTGGTTTTGTCTGCCACGTGTTTTAACATAATGTATTGGTTCTTGTTTTGGGGGTCACTGTTTGACCTCCGATCGGATTTTTTTTCCATTGTACGACTGTGTTCTATTCCTGTTTCACGTCGAATTGCGTATTCGTTTGCCTCCTGTGGGGTACGTGTTTGTGCTAACAATTCCTCTGAAATTTTTTTCGTTGTTCATGTGAGCGGTAAACATATCCCTTACCCACTTTATTTCTCGGCCGCCGCAATCGGCCCGTGAAGCTAATTCCACTAGGTCAGCATGAAATTGTTCTAAACTTTCTTTTTTCTTTTGTTTTCGACAAATAAAATTATACCTCTCAAAAGCTATTATACGTGTCGTGACGATTAGATCCTCCAAAACAGCCATGAATTGTTGCGTAGAAACCGTGTGTAGCTATAAATTAGGTCGTTTTTGTTGTATTTGGCATTGTCCTTCAGCGCCGAGACACAAGAAAAGATAGCTGCGCACTTTTGCGTCCGCTTCATCCCATCTGAATAAATTACATAGAACTCCTTTTTCCCGCGCTTTTATCACGTAGTTTAACCAGCCCACTCTTTTTTCTTGATTGCGCACCTCGCGGTTTTTCCTTTGGGCTTCCATTTCACCGGTTATCTCGACCTCGTATATTGGTTCAGATGGCTCTACTAATTGTGGTCTTGTTCGTAAAAGATTTCGAATTTCGATGCCGTCTTTCGCGAGTACTGCCATTTCCAGTATTGCCGCCCATTTTGTCCACTCTAATTTCGGCCGATGCTCGCTCCCAAAATGGATTTATGTTGAGTGGGTTCTTCGAAAATCCTGATGGCTGCGCCATGTCATACCGCTATGTCCTTAAAGTATGAACTGTTAATCCTTGAATCCGTATGGATAGATAATGTCGAGCTTGAGAGAGAAGAAGTTAAAACAACTTGTTAATGTTAACGTTTGCTTACGTTCTGAACCATGGTTCTCTTTAGACGCTGCTCTCGTCCTTGTTATCAAGGTCAATCGACCAGTACACATTAATGTTATATAATATCAAAACATAAAAGATATATAGAAACATAAGAAGTTTTATATGGAGTTTTATCTATCCATGCCGGATGACAATCGTCTTAACTGTAAACGCACTAAATAGCAGCAGTCATCAGACTTTGACTGCTTTACAGCTGTGCTCAGGCATAAATGGCATCCAAAAAATATCTGGCTCTATTCGTAGTATCAAAAGTAAGCAGTTACAATATTTTGAGAAAACAAGAAAAAAACGTACCAAGTAACATCCTCGCCCTAAATAGCCGAAGTTTAGATCCTCTACCAAAGTTTTTAATCTGAATTGAAGTTTTCGATTCTGATTGGCTGAAAAATCCCTCCAAAATGAACTAAATTAACATACCAAACCCGTTCGGGTGGGGGTATGTTGACTTGGTCCGATATCGCGTTTGACGACAGAACTAAAACCAAATCCAATTAACAGGTACAAATATTTTTATACTTGCATGTGATACTTTTGATATTCGCATGTAGGAAATATTTAAAACGCCTGGAAGAGTTTTCTTTTCAGATTGTCTGGAAACATTAATATCAACGTAAATTTTCCCCAATTCTTTTCAAGAAAAGAATCCACCCCAGGGGCGGATCTCAGATTTTCTCGAGGGAGGATTTTCTTTTATTTTCGAAAATTTTGTCAACCTTTTTCTTACGTCGACCAAATTGATTTTCTGAGCTCTTCCATAGCATTAAAAAGACCTTGTTTTGGTCAAAATTTCTGCGCCGCAGGCAAATTTTTGAAAAAACGGGCCAAAAAAGGCGTTTTTAGGCACTTTTCGGAAAATTTTGACCAAAAAAATCGGGTTTTTTCCTGGCCCGCTCGTCTCTCAAAATTAGTATGATTTGGCTCCAAAGGTTTTAGAGTCAGTCAGCCAAAAATAGATATCTCAAAATAGTACAAAGGAGGACCTTTTGGGTCGGCAAGGGGTCGAATCCCTGAAGGGGTGCGTCCGCCCCCCCCCCCCCCGCACCCCCCCCACCTTAATCCGCTGGTAATCCACTCCCAACACTAATTGTCGCTATATTTGTACTGCCATAGTTTTTGACAGTTCTTCCAACTCTCAACTCTTGACTCAACTTGCAGTTATCTTCAATTACAAAACGGCAAACCGGAGCTCTAAACATTCATTCAAAAACAAAATTACTCATCACCAAGACAAGCAAAAAATTTGGCACGGCGCTCACAGAAACGGCAGAAAGGGAATCATAGGCAACAGGCAAAAGAAAAAGAGATAACTTAAACAAGCAAACTGAAAAGCCAGTAATTTACTTTATACGTTTCCAAAGAAAAACTTCATAGCATCAAGGATCTTCTATTTTTATTTGTTCTTATTATAAACTAGAGAAAACCGCATGAAGAGTATTTTAGCATTCCTCCGAAATTTTTTAAAATAAATAGGCCATTAATTCTTACACTAATTGTTCATTTATCGCTTGAGAGCGCAAAGCGTCTTCCATTATGCAACTGAGTTTTGAAAAGTCATCAAACGCCAAACTTTCAAAGTATAGTCAGTTGTAGCTATTCGGAGGGGAACTTATGCAGGGGAGCTTTCCAAAACCCTTCTATTCATTGAAAGGATAGGTTTCGAGAAAACGAAAAAAATAATAATCAAAAATATGGGTCAATTTTGGGTCAAAATATGGGTCAATTATGGGTACACAGGAAAGTAGGCAGTCTTTCAATTGATGCCCCGTTTTCGCAAATCAGTGGAAAATATTTAAAAAAAAAACTTAAAATTTTTGCAGGACAAGAAATTTTTCCAAGCAAAACGAAAATTTAACAAACCAATTGGTAAACATCGCCAATCGAAGATTGGAAGAGTAATGAACGCAGGTAAACATAAATCAAACACTGACTTTGTTAAAAAAAATTATCAACTTTCGAATTCCAAAAAAATAGATGCCCTTTAAGCTCTTTGAATTTCTAGAACGATTCATGATTGCCGCTTTTTTGATAACAGTAACCCAACTTGAGAAAACTGGATCAACAGGTAAAATTTTTATTCCGCTTGAAACCTAAAAATTAAACTCCACTTTCAAAACTAGAAATCGTTAGCGAATTTTTGCGTCATTTGCACGTTCGTATTTGGAGAATGCTATTTTGGCCACTTTCAGCAGGTTAAATTCAATTGAACTCAAAAAGTGCATATCTACGTAGTACTCAATATTTTAAGACTTTTCTGAAAAAAGAAACAGCAAGACCTATATAAGAGTCTTCACTACGTTCTTTTCTCTTAAACATACAACTAACTTGAAACATGCGGAGGGGAGTGTTAAACTTGTTCACCTTGAAACGACCCAAAAGTAGGGTCATTAAGCCGATAAACAATAGGCCAAAAGTTGGTTACAGCTAAGCCAACAGATAAGCAGACAAACAATTGGCCGTTTATTTTATTTGAAACATAATATGTCCTGGTCAGATTCAAACTCCGGACCTTTGCCGTCCGAAGTATATTCGTCACCGCCAGGCTAAGTTGACCGAGAACGCTAAAACATTTGATTAAATTATGAAACAAGTAACATCTTGAGAGGAGTCCTGTGGACAACGTTATTCACTGGAAAAAAGTCTACCACCTGATTGCAAAACCTGTGCTTATCGCAAGGGCAAACACACCCGAATTTAAAAGTTTACCCATTTTCAATAAGCGGAACAACAATGATTTTGACTCAAAAATACAGTTCATGATTCAATCTCTTCGCCATACGAGCTACCAGACACCAAGTGCTCGGAACAAATTCATAAATAGTACGCTATTCGATTGATCAAAACCGTCTACTTTAATACATCGGACCAAGAAGCTAGCATTGTAATAAAACTAAACTAAACTTCGCTCTTATTCAATGAAAAAAAGTCCTTTTTCCGACTAAAAAAAACAAAGCATGCTATCTAGAAGCGTAGGCAGCTTTGCGTTAAATTCTATATTACTACGTTAACAATAATTCAATCAATTTTCAAAAAGAATAGGGAGGTTCCATTTCTAGTTTTCCATCGAACTGGTTTACACGCCAACTCTCGGCTAATTATCACTCTCGGCTACGGGCATATCGCCTCTCGTAGTAAGAACTCTTTTCCAGGAGAATTGTAACAAGTCAAAGTTTAAACGACGTCGGCAGCTCTGAAGCCCAGTCTGTTTTTTTGAGTTTTTTCACTGGTCCAGGAACTGTGCCATTGGGTCGTTAGTGCGCATCGACTTCATTCTGTAGGCTTCCATCTCTATCTCTGTTGGCACGGCTGTCTCTTGCATACTGTTGTATTTTCTTTTTCGCTCGTCAATCTGAAGAACCTTCTCCGCTTCCCGCTGCTTTTCTTCCTCTTTCTTCAGAGCCTGAAATAATCGCGACGGTAACATTTGTTTCTATTTTGAAATATAAAACCGCTACGAAGGACTACATACAAACATTATTTTATTTACTTAGTGTGATCTCCGTGAACTTCATATTCTAAAAAACCATGGAAGTACCCTTTCCTTATGATTGCCGATTTAGTGCAGATTTGAACTTAAAACTCAATTGAATACTAGAGTTAAATACCTCTTCTAAAGTCATTTCCTCCTTTTCTCGTTTCTGTTTCTTGGCTTCTTTTTCCTCTTCTCCCTCCTCGTCACTATCTTTACTTCTATCCTTCGATTTACTCTTCTTAGACTTCTTCTTTTTACTTTTCCTCTCTTTTTCTTTTCTTTCTTCGTCGTCTTCTCCTTCCAAGTGGTCTCTCTTGGTCTTTTTGGGTTGTGATGTGAGCGTGGTTGTGAACTGGATGGGGGGCAGTTTGCCTGACTCTCCGATGCAGTAGGAGTTGCGGATGAAGGAATGACAACAAGAGTAGCCCCACTGGTGCTCACGCCAATACGATCCCCACACACTCTGCCCAAAACAAACCAAAATACACTCTCAGTTTCATTTTTTAATACACTCTCAGTCTATTCCACCAACGGATTTAGGGGAGGGGGGGGTGCCCTCATTTCCTCAATGATTCGACCCCCAACCGACACACCTGCGGAAATTTTTTTCAAATTAGGGTCTTTACAGTGATTAATGAGAGCTCAGAAAATCAATTTGGTTGGAACAAAATTTTCTAGGCAAAAACAAAAAACTGGTAGCACGAAACCGAACTATTAAATCCAAAAATATGAAATCTGCTTGTGGTGATGGAAAAGAGCCTATGAATTGAATGAATGCTTACAGTGTGGTTGTTGATGTATACATCTTCTGGGTATATGGACTTGGGAATTGTTGCCTCCTTGCCTCTGATCAGAGACCCATCCTGCGCGTACTCTGTGTAGGTCTCAGTCTGAGCCAGAAGGAGACTCTTCGGCACTGGCTCCAAGTGCTCCTTTCCTCCGTACTAAACACATCATCCAGCATAATCCTTCCTTATTCACTTCACACTATTTCTTTTTCATGGAATACAATAAACTCAACTGAATGAAGAAGCACGCTTTTGTTATTACTTTTTTAATTACCCCGGGTCCTACTTAATGCAGGACCAACCATGGGGGAGGGGATATCTCATCCATTTCGCCGTAACCCGTCCCACCTTGAGGAGGCGGATGACATTGGGACCCTCCAACCATAACCGAAATGGGATTCGAACGCACGATCCTCGTTATGCATGCCCCAATCGGCCACGGCTGATCAAGTTATTACTAATAGATATATCAGAAGCCTGCATTCTTTTGAGTCTTCGGATATTTCGAAAGTGACTCCATTTGACATTAATTACTTTATGTCATCCCATTTTAAAAATTTTCTATTAGATCCAACATTGCCAAATAAAGGTCATTTGAAAGCTAATAGTAACATGTTTCATAGAAAAAAAGCATGCTGCACAGGTGCTACTCCAAGAATTTTAAAAAATTGAGAATGCCGCTAATGGAACTTAAGAAACATAGCCAACAGACAGTTGGAAAGTCAATGAACTGACTTGTTTTTTGAAAAAAAAAATACTGCAAGTTGGTCTTAAGCTCTTTGAATTTAAACAACTTATCATTTGCACTTAGATAAAATTCAGGCAATTTGAGAAAACTGGAGAGTTAGGTAAAGTTATTATTCCAGTGGGAAATCTAAAAATTATATTTCGTTTTCTAAACTAGAAATGGATCATGTTTTTTCGCGCAATTTTCCTTTCGGAATTGGAGTGCGAATTTTGCCAACCTTCAAGCAAATGAACTTGAATTGAACTCAAAAAGTTAGGATACACCTAAGATCATTCATAAATGCATTATTATATAAGAATGCAGTTTCTGTAGTTATAAGAGGTCATTTGAAAAACTTTTCCTGAAAAAGACTTTTCCTGAGAAAAACATAGCCAATCGCAGATTGGAAAAAAGTAATGAACGCAAGAAAGCATCAAAAACATTGAGTTTGTTAAATAAACCTCAACTTTCGAATTTCAAAAAAAAACAATTCATGATTGGCGTTTTTTATAACATTAACCCAACTTCAGAAAACTGGATCAACAGGAAAAGTTGTTATTCCGCTAGAAATCTAAAAATTAAATTTCACTTTCAAAACTAGACATCGTTCACGTTTTTTTTTCGCAAAACCATTGCAATCTATATAAGAGTCTATCAATACATCAAATATCTTTTAAAAAACAGTTAAATCTATCTTAATGCACATCAAATTAAATTTTGAGGGTAACATTTTTTGATGCATTTTAAATTTTTCCTTAACCTTTGTTTGAACTTTTTATTCATTATGATCGGAACATTATGTGCTACTTGCTCAGCAACTGGCTATCCTTGTGTTATTTGTTGACAATAGCGCAAAAATTCTGCTACTGACACTTCAAGACCCTAAGACAAACATGTTCTGATGCATTTTACTTTGCTGAAAATCGCGTAAAATATACAAAACAAAAAGGGACCTTTTCGAGTATTTTGCTGCTCTGTGTATCCTCCAACTGTCCTTTCTTCTCCTCCACGTGTTTTTTCATGAACTCCAGCTTTGTGGGCTCACTTTGCAGGTGCAGCTCAGTCCCCTTCTCACTAGACTCCCACGCGAACACTAGTCACACAGTAACTCATATCATCTTTCAATTCATTTAGAGCTACAAAAAGTTATATTTGCAAAATTTAGACAAACAAATTTAAGTAATTAAAAAGAGCAATGTATCAGTTTTGACTTACAATTTCGTACTAATTTTGGCAGAGCTTCTTATAATGTCTTGTTTTAAAACCTTCAATTTAATTGTTTATTTAAGGGGCACTTAGCATAGTGGTAAGGCGTTCACTTTAGAATCGTCAGATCGTGTAATCGATCCCATGCCATGGCAATGATAGTGTGTGAGCTCTCACTTGACCTCTAGCTTCAGGTCTACCACAACCTGACCAAATTTGGCTGCAAAATTGGTACCACGTGAAAGTTCTAGACGCACAAAAACGGCCTTGAGTCGCAAAAAAGAGCTTCGCTCAACAAAATAACACAGTCTGGAATGTGGGGAGATAATACAAATGGACTATCCTCGACAGGAATGTTAAAGGCCTACTGATAGATCCACTGCGATTCGCAGAAACTACAATTATAATTATTTGTTAACCGCTTCGAGTTTTTTTTCAACTTCTAGTTGTTTCACAGGCGTGCTCCTACATCGGATTTAAATCAAGGTCAAACCTGACTGAATTTGAACCATTCTGATAACTTGCAAGGTCGACCATCAGTCTTGATTTCATTACGACTTGATAAATTTTAATTCAAAGCAATGGTCGAGGGCATGTACGGTTAAAGAGGGAAGGAGAAGAACAACAGCGAAGATGGATGATTGGTTTCAGGTTTCCTGAAGTTCGTTTGTACTACTTTATTTAGCTTGAACCCCTAAAGGTCACCCCTAAATTAATTTGAATGCATTCATCATAGAAAGTGAACTCCGTATCAATCATACTAAAGGTCACTTTTGGAGCATAAGCAATGCTTCAAATCCGATGATTAATTTGAAACTCAGACGATAGTTCTAATTCGCTCATCGTCCATTTTTGTTCACACATTTAACACACAATGTATTGTTATTTTCCTAATAATTTGCCTTCTCTAGCATTGCTGGCCTTGAGATTTTGAGCCCACTAATTTGGTTCAGATTTTCGTAAAATTATTTTGATAAAAAGGCTCTAGCGTGAACAAGAAGGTTCATAAAAAAGCGAGTAATTGGCGCGCTTATTCATTGTCTCTTTTAGAATAGAAAAAAATTAAAACAAGTTTTGTTTTCATTATTTTTCATCTGATGTGAACCCAATTTGATACCATGAACCTCGTAACAACACCTTCTCCTACATATAATGAGAATTACAGAGAGGCTTCGCAAACACTAGCCAGAACACGACAAAAAGCAGCTCTATAAAGAACAATAAGAAAAAGTAGAAATAAGCCTCCAGTTAGTAAAAACTCGGCTACGTCTAGGATTCGATCTGCAACCCAGAGATTATGAGACACACACCAACCACTCAGCCACGAACACTTTATAAATCCCAAACACTAGCCACAAATGAGGCCGCGAACAGATGCTATGAAATTTCCAATGCTACAGATCGTGATTACATCAAAAGTGCCACCAAATAAGTGAACCTTTTTAATGAACTCTTTTAATTGCGAGTTAAGTTAGAAAAAAAGAAGGTTCGTACTAATACGCTAACGCTCGCAAGTGTAATTAGAATACTGTTATATGCAACAAATAGCTTTTTTGGTTCATTTGACAAAATAAACCAGCATCAACTGTGTTTATTTATTAATTACCAGATGTCGAAGCATATGGTATTATTATACTGTCAATGCCGCCGGCTGCTTTAAAAAGTACCCCAAAAGCAGCACTTTCACATAGGCAAAAGTAACACCAAAAGTAGCACTTATTTGCGACTTATGTTGAAAAAAAAGTCGCATCGTACTATCACCTGCGCTCCGTTTGGTTAAATACAGAGTGGAGCTTAATTCAGCGGCACTAAACTTGATAAAATACAACAATGACCCGTCAAAAGCCACGCTACAGTCCCAAAGATAACCTAGAGAGCCCACGAGCAGATTCGAGGAAGAGTAGAGCCATTTATGGATCTACAGGTGAGTCGATTTTTTAAAATAAGGACCATAATGCTTCGTAGACCTGTAATAGATTGAATTACATGGCAACAATTTTCTTTGTTTGTGCTTATTTTAACTCAAACTGATTTCACTTCAAAACTTTTTGTTTAGAACATAGTGAAGAAGGACGATTCAATTCAACAAAATTAGTGGATAAGGACTCCTCGGATGATAAAGCAAAAACGAAGGAGCGAAGTTTGGACGTGAATCTTAGGCGTCATTTGCCGCTTAAAGCGTTTTGCTGATTGCAGTACCAATTTTTCCGATAGAAGGAAAAGGAAAACTGGTAAAAACGACCAAAAAGAAAAAATCAAAGAAAGCGACGAAGAATCTCAAAATTCACATCAGTGAAGTTGAAGACAGACTCTAGTAGCAGCTCATTAAAGCTCTTGAAACCACGACGCTGTTCCATCAACAGGCATGGAAAACAAATAAGAAAATTGAAGAGGCCGGAAAGCAGTTGAGGATAAACCGACAAGAAACAGCGAAAAACACGAGTTGTGTAGTTGTTTTCGTAACATTTTTTAGTTTTTCTGAAAGATTATTTTAAAGATTTATTACCCTACCATCACTATTAGCTCTCTTAGCATTCTCTACGTAGAAAATGGTAGTCCTTTAGGAGAACCTACGATGTCTCTGCTGTAAACAGACTCAATTAAAGTGAGATGTTACATGCAAAACTAGCTTCATTTTTAAGAACTTAGAGCTCTTCTACTCACATTGTGTGCTGGCTATGTTGGATGCATCACCCGAGTACCTCACAAAGTTGTCTCCCGCATACGGCACACTGAAACAATGCAAAACCAGTTGAAATATCAGATTCCGGTATTATCAATTACACGGCCGAAAATTACCAGTAGGTTAAATAACCTATCATGGTAATTAAATGCCTTTCACATTTGCTTTCGTAAGAGTATTTAAAGTTTTAAATGAAATAAATGGCAAGACCGCAAAATCATCAAAAATTTCAGCTCTCTTAATCAATAACAATAAATTATCTGACCCTGTTCTAATATCTAACGCTTTTAATGATTATTTCGCTTCGGTAGGAACCAAGTTAGCAAGCAAAATTGACCACGTGGGGCCAGTGATTAAAATAGAAGACGTAAGCCAATCTATGTATCTCTTTAATAGTACAATTTGTGAGATAATTGATGTGATAGAGCGTCTGAAGCCCACGCATACTTGTGGCATCGATGAAATTAGTAACCTTTTTTTAGTTAAAAGCAGGTATGTGTTAGCACCTTATTTAACATACTTAACTAATCTCTTATTTTGCTCCGGTATGTTTCCTCAAAGCCTCAAGAATGCTCGGGTTTTACCTCTTCATAAAGCTGATAGCAGAATAATTATGAGCAATTACCGTCCAATATCACTTTTAAGTAGCTGCAGCAAAGTTATTGAAAAAATCATGCACTCTCGATTTTACAACAATCTTGAAAAGTTCGAATTACTGTATCATCATCAGTTTGGGTTCAGGGAGAAGTTTGCCACAGTTGATGCATTAGCTGAATTGACTGAAAGATTAAGACTAGGTGTTGATAAAAACATTAAATGTAGCTTCTTCATTGATTTAAAAAAGGCATTTGATACGCTGGACCATAAAATTCTTTTGAGGAAACTAGAATGCTATGGAGTACGTGGAAATTGCTACAAATGGTTCGAAAGCTATCTATCCAATAGGTATCAATGTGTACATGTAAACAACTGTTCATCTGATTGGTTACAAGTAAACACGGGAATACCGCAAGGCTCTGTTTTAGGCCCTCTCTTATTTCTTGTTTATATCAACGACATACAGCACGCAGTTTGCAATTCAAATGTGTTTCTATTTGCAGATGATACAAACATATCATGTCAAACATCTATCTATGAAGAATACCAGTTAGATTTGACCAAAATTTCTTCCTGGCTTAGTTCAAATAAATTAACCTTAAACTCAGATAAAACTACTTTAATTAATTTTACTGAGGATAGAAGTGCTTCCAATCTTTCTTTTGATATACTTGATTTTACTTTTCAACCGAAACCTTTTTGCAAATACCTAGGTGTCATTGTAGATGATAAGCTTAAATTTTTTCACCATATACAGAATGTTCAATCAAAACTAGGTCGTCACTGTGGTGTAATATCAAAAATGAGACATTATGTACCAAGATCCATCCTACTGAAATACTACACGTCGAATATCAAGCCAATAATACAATATGGCTTGCTCGTCTACGGCGGCACGAGTTTTTCTTTTTTAAACCCAATTTTGAATATGCAACGAAAAATTGTTCGCATGATCTGCTTCAAAAGGAAATTTGATACCATTACTAAATTCTTTTCTGATAATAAAATACTAACAGTTCATGAGCTATATGTGTACGATTTGATGAAGTTTTGTTTACGATCACTAAATCAAAAACATCCAACTTGTTTTCTCAATTCTTTGTTTACTTAAAAAAATTTTGCCTATAATACGCGAATTTCAGAAGGTCGATCATTTGTTCCACCATTCTGTAAGAATAAGGTAAAATCATGTTCTTTGACTAATAGGGGTTCAAAGTTATAGATTCAGAGTATAAATAAGCTCTTACCTAAAAATATTGGATTGATCTCAAAAAATGAAGAATACAGTTTCCTCCATAAGTTTAAAGATAATTTCATTTGTGGCAATTACGAGTTGGTGCAAAACATATTTCTTTCAATTTTTTTATTTTTAAAAAATTGTACCCGCTGGCTAAATGCTATCAAACAACCATTCTAGGGTTGCGATTCTATGCTGAAAATATGACCCTCCAAATCCTTGTAGTTTTCGAGAAATCGCATTTTTTAGAAAATAAAAAAAAAATGAAAAAACTTAGATTTTTTTTTCATATGTTTTCTCATATTCTTAGTTCGTCAGCTGGGGCCGAAATGACAGGACTAGATGTAATAAGTATTCCTTAATGAGGGCTTAATTTTAGGGAAAAATAAATTTTTTCCCCACAATCCTATTTTTATTCGAATATAAATTTATCTTTATTACTTAGTTGCAATCCTAATTTGTTCAACGGGTAGACGTCAAGTAGGCACATACTGCGCCTTTTGTCTATCCCCTCCATTTTGTTGATTTAATAATTTAAATAAATTGATGCTTGTATTATCAACTATATGGAAAAATAAATTCTTCTTCTTCTTCTAGTTAGTTTCAGCAACCAGTCAAATTCAAGCATTGATCTACAAATTTCAAAATACGGAAGGAGCACGTTTGATAAAAAAAAACACCTTTGATTCTTGAATCAGCAAAAAAAAGTTCAAAACTTTTGTAAAATTAGATTGAGATAATCAATTTTGAACGAAGATTTTTGTCAATTTCATTACAAAAACAAAAACAGCTAATCAGTGAAAAGCAGGACACCGAAAATTTCTCTCGATGATCAAAGTGCGCTATAAAAATTGGTTAACTTAGGACTTCGACAACTGAGTATTCACAATTGATAGTAAATGACTAAGTATAAGAAAAATGTTGTTCAGCCTACCTCAACAATATTTTAACTTCCTATTATTTTTTTCTTAAACAACTACAAAACTGAATTGAAGCCCTCGAAATTAGAAGTGGTCATAATACTAACTCTGTGACATCTTTGCCCTGGATTGCGAATGGGTTCTCCCTCATTGACCTGGCCTTCGGGTCATAGTAGGCAGAGTTAGGGTCCAGGTTGTACAGATACTAAAACACAAAAGACTCATCATCCATCATCTAGCAAGCAACAGTTCAATTTCAAGATTCTTCAATAATATCACTCGGATCAATTAACTTCATAGGAAAGATTGAAATTAACAATTTTCAAGTAACTTCATAAAAAAAATTGTGAAAATATACTAAGAAAAATTAACTTTGCTTTGATGGAGAGGAAAACTGAAATCATAATTGTTTTATATGTCCGGATGTTTTTTGATATTATGACAAACTACTGACAGGAGCAGGTTTTCAAGGCCACTGACGACTTTTCAAATAAAGAGAAAGATTTGTCAAATTAATCACTCGGATCGCTCACCTTAGCTGTGTCCTCTCGAATGCGGAGGTTTCGCACAGTCATTCTCTGTTTGGAGTCCCACTTGGTCCCTGTCATGATGTCCTGGTCGTCCTTCACTTTGAACTCATCCTCGTCGTCGTCACTCCCCGCCCCTCCCTCCGGTACAGCCACCTATTATAACACAGCATCTCTTCAACTATTCCACCCTTTGGAACCTAGGAACGAAGTGCCACCCCTTTAAACAAATAACTCAAGGGTTAAGCATATGTAAATTTTGTACCTTGTAACGATTCGTTGATTTTCAATTTTTTCTCAAGAATACGGAAAAACGAAGGCAACTGTCAAATGAATGTTGCACCATTAGTAAAGAAAAAATCTATACAATCAAAGATAGTCAAACCAGTTTCTTTTTTTGCTGACATCATTTTGAACTTGATGTCCTATGGTACCTCCAATTATTTTTCAGTGGCTATGTTCCAGGTTGCGCACATTCGGCACAAGTGTTTCAGAAAGAGGCACCCAAACTCAATCAGACTTACTTCTGGCTTTTTGGGAGTGGGCGTGGCTGACTCGCTTTCTTCTATCTCCTTCTCCAGTCGCTCTGACTTCAACTTCGCCTTGGCCAGTTCCAGCTTGTCGTAGTCTGAGATGACCTCGTGGTACCGGGAAGTGTCGTAGCCGACCCATCTGTCCCGCTTGCCCTCGAAACTCTTCTCCTTGTTGGGAACTGCCAAACACATCATGGCATGCACACGTTTAGGAGTAACTGCTTCATGCTTAGTTTTTAATTAATACTGGGGGAGGGGTTCTTAGCAAAAGTGACTAAAACCATAAATCAAGGGTAATAGGCCCACGTGAAAGAAAAAACCTAAGAGCCTATTTAGAGCCATGAACCATTGAAATCGAAAAAAAAACTCGCAAACGCCAGCCAAGAATAACGATAGTTTTTGATTTTCCAGAGAGTTAAGTTTTTCCATTTGGCTGCAATAATCTTGAGCGAAAGCGCCAAACTATCGTCAGTTTCTCATTTTCGTTGTTTTTATCTTAGTTCCTTTTTTGCAGCACACCCATATAGATACCATGTATGTATTACTGTACTGTTCACCTATGTATTCGTCGTTTCCGAAGCCTTGGCCTGTGAATCTGGCACCTATCTTCCGTGGTCTTTCCAGACAGTCCTTCCTCTTATGAGTCATAGACCCACAGTTTTCACACGCCCCCTTGCGGAATTTGGTTATCACTTTATCCTAAAAAGAACGAAAGACACTGATTAGATTTGATGGAAAAAAACAGACAACAATCCAGGGCAAATTATCAAAACAATTATTAAACAACAGCAGTAAACAGCTAATAATCTGTGAAATCAAAAAAACTCAGCAGCAGAAAAAAAAGTATGTATATAAATACAAAACCATCACAAACAAAGTATAGCTAAAGGGATCAACAGTAAAAAAATGATTATACACAGAGGCGAAGCTGCGCTTCGCAAACACTTGAGAGAACACGACTAAAAAGCAGCTCTAGCAGGTGATATAAAAAAAACGGAAATAAGCCTCGAAATAGTAAAAACTCTACCCTAAGGCAATCAAGAGATTTTGAGTTTATCAAGCATAATAACCGACAAACACTAGTCACGATAAAATTGCCAATGCTCTTCAGCAAAAGTGGCACCAAATACAAATAGACTCAATTTTGCAAGTAATAATTTAGAAAATAACAAACTGAAGTCATCCACACTAACTTTGCATGTAATAAATCGCAAAGCATTAAGCCACATTATGTATAACTTATCCATTTCAAAAAGTTGCGAGATATATTGAATAAGAAAATTTCTGAAATTGAGTTTTCATTAATGTTATGATGTTTGAAACAAATCACTTTTTTTCGGTTCATTTGATGAACTTAAAATGCATCAACTGTGTTAACTTATTACTATTCGAATGACAAAGCACATGCCATGAAAAAGCTGTAAAGGTGCCCAAAAAGAGGCACCAATATTTTTTGTAACTTTTTTGCTTCGCAAGTGTAAAGAAGGTCATTGAAATTTGAGTTTTTACATTCAAATAGTAGAGAATGAGAGAAATGCAGTGAATGGTAAAAAAAATTGTCATAACTTTGAGCAAACATAACTTTAAAAGGTTATTATTTGTTCTTTCATTGTGCTTGCTAATTGAACACTGGCCAATAGTTCACAAGATTAATCGTTTGTACTCGAAAGAGGCTAGAAAACAAATAAACAAAAAAACGAATGCTGAAAAAATTGATTTGAAGAATTGCGCTGAAACTCACTCACTCAATTGTCTGCAATCACAACCGTAAAACACAGGCGATACAATGCAAGCATAGCATTGAAAGCCAGCTAACAGAAAATGAGAAGGAAACAACAAAGTCGAAAAAAACGATTAAAAACAATTTTTTTTTGAAATAAATCAAAAAATCAACTTCAGAAAAACAGTCCAGAAACAACTACCAGCATTTAAAAAGCTTTTCTTATTATCCGATTGGCCACTAAGTCTACAAAACGTGGGTAAACCACACGTTTTGTAGACTTAGCCCATTAAGTCAAAATAAGCCCATTAAGTCAAATTTAGTCAAAATAGCCCATTAAGCCAAAATAAAAAAAACGCTAAAAAAGAAATGTTAATATAAAAAAAATCGAGCGACGAAAAAACATCCCACTTTTATATCACAACCGACTTGAATTATTTTTAAGCAGCTCAAAAATAAAACTGCATCAAGTAAACCGGATAAAATTTTATAGCATAAAAAATTCAGAGGAAACTTTTCAAAGTCACGAACAGTAAGAGTTACAAGAGAAAAACATAGCCAGCAGGCAGTTGGAAAAGTCATGAACACAACAAAATAAAGAAAAATACTCGTTTTTTTTTTAAAATTCAACGTTCGAACTTCAGAGAAAAAAATGGCTTTAAAGCTCTTTGAATTTACAGAACAATTTATGATTGACACTTTTTTTGATAAGAAAACTGGATCAATAGGTAAACTTTTAATTCCATTAGAAAATTTAAAAAATAATACCGATTTTCGATACAAGAAGTTGATCACCTTTTCCGTTACTTTATACTTTTGCTGTTCGATAGTGGAGTTTGCTTCCTTTCAATAAAGGAAAAGAAGTGAACTTCAAAAAATAAAAAGTCAAACTGCGAAAAATCAAATTTCTCGTGAAAAACGAACAAACAGACATTTTTCCTGAAAAACAAACAAACAAAACACTGAGACCTATGTAAAAGTATTCACTACAGCTATGACTTTTAACCAACAACACTTAAAGCAACAAAAAATTCTTATGGCAGACATAAGCAGACAAACAATAAACAACCCATGCACTTTCCCGGAAAAAGGTCATTTTCATACATACTAAAAACAGCAAAGTCCAGCGAAATTCGCAAGCAAAAACTTAGAGCACAAAAGCAATAGCATTAACTCCAGACCAAAGGGAAGATGGACTGGTTGTTAAGGTTCTATATAAGGAGGTTCAATATGTTAAAGATTTGTAAAAAAAAAAATTGCTTACGAGAAAAAATTGTGGTTACCGATTACAGGCCACTTACTCTCACTCACACGTGTAATAAAAAATCACAGCGCTCAAGAATTAGTAACGTGGATTTCGAACAATTCAACCATTGAAGAGGGAGCTAGAAAAACGGGATGGATTATTTATTTCAAAGTTCATTTTTGCTTTATATATAATATATATCTATATATCTACATATCTACATATCTATACATATATTTGTGGGGTTGATTTCGAAAATTCATTGTCAGAGTCGGCAAAAAATCTTGGCAAAAACTGCAAATACAGCTAAAATAGGATCTACGAATGCTATATAAGGATGATATACGCGATTCGGCCACTAAACCGACGTAGCTCAGAGTGGAGACAACCATGAAGCCGGACAATTATCAGAAAAAAACGTTTATGTTGCATTGACCAGTAATTAGAAGCTTTAGTAGCCACATACGGTAATTTAATTTGAATTTCAAGAAATTGAGCATGTCAGCAGCACAATTGATTCAAGTGATTGTGTTAAACTGGTTGTTAAGCTGAAAAAGTCATCTTCAAATTTGATAATACTTTTTTATAGAGTTAATTGGTGGAAAACAGATGTTCCCTAGTGCAAGACAATTGGTCTCCCACATGTAACCAGCACTTTATTCGTTCACTAACTATTAATTTCAGATTCACTTACTCAGATTTTCAAATCAGCAGTTTATAAAAAAAATTATTGGAGCTGTCCAAATTACGTCAGCTACAAAAATAATGTTTGAACCTACTTATGTCTCCAAAAATCTTCAAAACAAACCAGAATTGAAATCACAAAAATGGAAAAATGAGCACCAAATTTATACTCACTATTCTCACGCACTGGCAGTTTTATCTTGAGAAAACGAAACATGGTTGAAAACGTTTGAAATTAAAGCATTGAATTTTATTGTTTTCTCTATGATATTATTGACGGTTTTCTACAGCATACTGACAAAAACTGACATTTCGATTGGTCAGGAGTACGCCTGGATGTGAATTCTGTGAAGTCTTGATACGAATAAACTTGCGGACGAATGAAAATACTTCTAAATAAAAAAATTTCGATTAAAAGTCAAATTAATTACTTTTTCAAATTAACCTCGGAAACCAATATAAAACTACAACTTAGTTTAAAATTTTGAACAAAAATTGTTTTCACATTTAATATATCAGAAACATATTAAAGTGAGAACACTTATTGAATCCAGAACCAACATATCAGCGATCGGTACATTCGGAAGCTGATTGTGACACATTTGCTTGCTTACCTTAATTATACCTTTACGCACAAACTCTTCATTGATATCAACAAAGTTCTTCTGTTTCTCTTCATGTGGTTTTTGATGTTTCAAGGTGGGCTTGTCAATTCCCAGATACCATGGCGCTTTCACTATAAACTGAGGAATGTGTGGGTTAATATCACGACCTTCTTCGTCTACTTCGGCCGGCGCTGTTCCCGCCTTTCTAGCCTCATCTAATTCCTTTTCCCGCTTCACTTCTTGTTTTGTTTTTCTCTTGAACTCCTCGGATTTAATTTTATCTTTGTCCAGTTTACGTGCCGCAGATTCATCGTCATCTGAATAAGTCATACAAACTCTGAAACGGTCAATCAATTTGAACTCGAACTTGAACCGTTAAAAATGTTACAATGAAAAAATAAATTCATTTCAAAATGAGGATATACATCATTTTATTAGATGAAGAAATGCTGAAGAGAGTTAATGAATAATGCAAATGGCAACTTAAATAGAAACAATTCCACGTCTTTTTCTCACATCCTCGAGTATGTGTGTTCCCGCTCTCGGTACTTGGTTCTCATAAGAACGTCCAAAATCAGAACCAAAACAAAAGCAGCCAAGCTGGATCCGCCCAAGATAATAAAAACTGCGTTGTAGCTTTCGAAGACCGAATAGAGAACACCTGCCAACGCTATCGATATAAATGAAGACAGTCCATCCATCAACAACAGAATCGAAATTCCCAGCTCACGGCCATGCTTTACGCAATCTTTAATCAGGATAACATCTGTAGTCGACACAATTCCACCACACGCTCCCACCAGGAACATGAAAAACGTCTGGAACATCAGAAATGGAAAGAAGGTACTGACAATAGCCATAACACCTAATGTTAGCTTGGACAACTGGCTGAGCCGTATCACCGAAATCAGCTGGCGATCGGCGATTAAACCAACACTGAACCGGGCGACGATTTGAACGGCACCGTTGATTGCTAGCGTGTCGGCTCCATTTATCAGAGAGTATCCCATTTTAACCACTCTCTCTGGTTGATGAACCATCACTGCGTTGTACGTAGCCTCATTGAACACCCATGAAAACAACAATAACAGGAAGAGAGGATTGAATAGCAGATTATCTTTTGCCTTTTTAACTTTATCCTTGACTGACTGTGAGATTGAGTCCATATCATGACCATGGTTATTTAAACTCGGCAACGAGTCATTTGAGATACTCAGTGAACCATCTTCCTTTTGTTTCTTCTCCACAACTACAATTTTCTGTTCATTCTCTAGGTTGTTGTTTTCGGCCAGCAGCCCTTCAGTTTCCACTGCATTCAGTTGTTTAAGCTCGAGTTCTTTCATTTTTCTTGTTCGCACACCGAGAACGCGACTGATTGGAGGAAAAAACACTAAAAAGGCCATAACGTAGGAGATCACAAAAATCAGTTCGAACTGAACGAATCCGCGCCACCCAATAACAGGCTCCATATACTTGAAAGACATTGACACCATAACCATCCCCATGCCCATTCCTGCTGATACACATGACGATACTAGGGTTATTTTATCGTCCAGAAAGTAATGATAGACAGTTGTCAGCGTCCCAGTAACTGAAAACACTATTCCAATCGAAAAAACTACTCCATTCGAAATCAGAATTGTGAGGAATGTGGTAGCAATGCTTGTTAAATAAAGCCCGATAGAAACAAAAGTGGCTGCAGACAAAAACACGATGTAAGGTTGAACATTGTAGTAATCACGCAAAAACTGTACAGCTGGTGCAGGTAAAAGTGTAACAGCGAATGTTACACTATTGATGACAGATGCTTCAGATGTTGTTAAATTGAGCTTGGCAATCCATGTTCCTTGCATTAACCCCAAACAGTACCTAAGCAAAATCGTTAAAATTTGTTAAATCAAAATTCTGTGCCTTTTAAGGCATTTAAATTCAGAAAGAGTATCCAGTATATGCATCGACAAGAAGTATTTAAAGTGCTCTTTATCTGCAGGCCCCGGATTTTAGTTAAATAACTATTTTTCGTTAACTATTTCTGAGAAAATGGAGGAAATTAACTAATCAGAGAAATATGCTTTATTTCAACTATTCTGCTGAAACTTTCCAGAAAACCGATAGTTTTTCAAAAAATTTATACACCAACATTGACATCTTCACTAAGGCCTGTGATCATATGAGGGGAGTTGATTAAATGCTATAAATTACAAAACTGAAAATTTTAAAATTTTCCGGTAAATGTTACCACAAATGAAATACTGGGGTTTTCTTTGATCTATTTAAAAAATTCATTGAAAAATGATTTTTATTGCTGTTACTGCAGCAAATTTTTGTAAAAACGGGAGTTTTAATTAACTTTTCATCAACTATTTGATTGGTTTTTGGTTTTTTACTTATCTAAAATCCGGGGCCTGTTCATCTGCCCCTTGAAAAAATTTATAACATGAAATTTCGTCACAGTTGAAAATTATTCTTACTCTAAACTTGTCCGTAGACAGAGCTAAAATATGGCTGATAATAATGTACTGAGAGGCAAAGCAGAGCTTCGCAAAACTTGCGATACTATTTTGAACATTGCATTACAAGATATTAAACAGAAAAAAAAGATGCAATACATTTAGAAAAATCAATCTGAAAAAAATACGTTTTATTCTCGCTGGTGACAGAGAATTTCCCTGGCAATATAAATTGCGAATTCCGCGTGCGTACTCGGCACAATAAATGACAAAAAAAAACAACTTTCAACGAACGATTTGTAATAGAAATATTCACCCCCTTTTTATCTCTCTAATCATCTTTTAATAATTATCACTTCCATATCTCGAAAACTCCTAGGATTTCGTCTGGAATATGTGATGAAGTGACTTCTGACTGTAACCTCGGTTACTATGATACTTTTGACCTTCGGTTTAAAAAACCTAAATTACAAAAATGGCCCTTCCGTTTAGTTACGGTCAGTGCACAAGCTGGATAGGGCCATACCAGTGTTATAAAAATGCATATACATCAGCAACTGTATCATTTTATCAATGAAGTCCTATATCAGCGTTAAATGCATCTGATTATTTTTGAATTTTTTTTTGCTTTTGTTTCAAATATAGTAAATCAGAAGGCCAGAACCTATCATGGGAAACGAAGTTACTTCAGTAGTACATTATCAAATCACCCAGTCAAACAACCATTGGAATCAATTGGATGGCTGGGAATCAAGCCAGTCAGATGGAGAAAACCAGCACCTGCACAGAATAAACAGGAATTGAAAGAAACTTACAAAGATTGCTACGGTTCTATCAGATCCTTATACTAAGCTGCGCTTTTGTTCCCTTGGCTATCCACATAAAAAGTTTCTTCGAAAGAAGGTTGTATCATTTATCTTGCCAAGTACGCAAGCAGCGTTAGCAACCTGTATTGCGTGGGAGATTTTCTGATTAGGAAAACAACCTGCCATGGGTTCCTCGATACTTGTGCTCAAGTTCTTGCAGAGCTTACTTCGAAAAATTTCAGTGCAGGGGCTGGCTATTGATTGATAAATATATTCATCACTTATTAAAATATTACTTCAAAACTTCGGAAAAATTATATCTACGATTATTTCATATATTGGTCTCTGATGATGAACAGAAAAGCCTCAACACTGAAAATCAATTGCCAAGCGAAAACTAGGGCCTACATATTTGGATCGACTAAATGAGTTTCTAAAAGTCAAAAAGTTTCCAAAAAAGCAGCAATATTTCAAAAAAAGAACTTGGTCAAGGCAGTTACTTCAACTAGCGCTTAACGCACCTTCGGTGCTTCGAAATTTTTCGAGAACTCATGAAAAAAACCGCATACATTGGAAACAACATCTGCAAACTTTTAGTGTACTGACAGCAACCAATTACAGGGTTGGTAATTTCGAAATTCTAAATTTTTTTAATTCCCATTTTAAGAACGTCATCTCGAAAACTTATTGGGCCTCTGGAGAATTATGGAGGCCAGATTTGCAACCACTGAGAGTCCCTGAGAGCACCCTACTTTAGGGTTAGGAATCCAAAATTTTGAGAATTTTTTTAACCTAAGTTTCAGGAAAAAAAAAATCGAAAAAAAAACGTCTTATCTCGGAAACTAAAAGGATTTGAGCATTGATATTAAGAGCCAAGATTTGAGATGCCTGGCTGTACGCTGACAATAAGGTTTTATCTTCATCAAATTAGTAGTTTCAAATTTCTTTGTAGCTAAGTTCCTTGAGAAATTTTGAAGAAATCAAAAAACGTCACATCTCGAAAACTAAAAGCATTTGAGCAGTCGCGTTTAGCAGTCGCATGTAGCAAGATTTGCAACTCTTTAGAGTACCCTGACAACACCTAAGTATAGCGTTGGGAATTTCAAATTTTTAAAAATAATTAATTTAAACTTTCTGAAAATTTTGAAAAAATCACAAAAAACGTCACATCTCGAAAACTACAAAGAATTGAGCAGTCATAATTGGAGGCCAGATTCGCGACCTTGATAGTACTCTGAGAGTATCCAGTTACAGGGTTGAGAAATTCAGATTTTTCAAAAATAATAATTAATTAAAATTTTCAAGAAATTTTTTTTTAAAAATCACAAAAAACATCATATCTCGAAAACTACAAGAATTTGAGCAGTCCAATTTGAAGGCCAGATTCGCAATCCTTGAGAGTACTTTGACGACACCTAACTACAAGGTTAGGAATTTCAAATTTTTCAAGAATAATAATAATTTAAGTTTTCTGAAAATTTTTGAAAAAATCACAAAAAACGTCATATCTCGAAAACTACAAAGAACTGAGCAGTCAAATTTGGAGGCAAGATTCGCAATCTTTGAGATCACGCTGACAGTGCCCAACTACAGGGTTGGGAATTTCAGATTTTGCTTTAAAAATTATTTTAAATTTTCTGAAAATTTTTTGCAAAAATCACAAAAAACGTCATATCTCGAAAACTACAAGGAGTTGAACAGTCATATTTGGAGGCAAGATTCGCGACCCTTGATAGGGCAACATCATTTAAGCACCAAAACTTCGCATTCTGTTCTTTTACTTGAAATTTAACCTAACAAGTAGCAGGGAATTTCCAACACAAGAAACAGGCTCCAACAAACTGTTAAAAGTCAAAACTTGGAGACTTTTTAAGACCGAAACTCTTTTTCTACAGAAATTAGAGCTTGTTCAGAGGATATGTTTGCAAAACACACTCTTTTGATGAAATCCAAAAAGTTATACAAAAAATCGGTCAGACACTCCCTCCCACTGAAAGTTTTTAAAATCGTAGAACGCCCGGTGAAGTAGGAAAGAGACCCGCAAAAAACCTAAAAACACAGAAAAAAGCTCCAATAAAACGATTTTTTTGACAATCGTTTGACTAAATTTCGAAAAAAAAACTGAGAATTTCCAAAAGCGTCTCATATTAAAAAAAAATTGAAGGAGAAAAGATTTTCACCTTATGTTTTCATCTAACCAGAACTAGCCACCGTAGGCCAGGTGCAAATTGTAATGCTTTTGAGCAGTAATTAACAAAGCAAAAGCGCCCACAAACATTGAAACAAAATACAAAAAAATCTAAGAGGCAACTTTACCAACTTTGAACCAAATTTGAAATGTATAAGAATTGCTTGAATTAAAATTTTCAAAAATGGGAAGCTGGGCTTCGCAACAACCCCGAAGTAATCAAAATAGTTGATTACAGTGCATTGAAAGTTTTTGAAATTGCAATCAATTTTTATTGACAACCATATGGATTTTCATTAGGATTTTATATTATCAATTCAAGCATATTCTCTCATTTTGAGCGTCATTAACCCCTACGAGACAAGAAAAGTGAGAAATATAATTAAGTGATGCAATTGAAAAGTTTTGGTTGACCAAAATGATACGCAGTAATTTCACAATAAAAATTAACATTTTCCTACAAATTTCTTTTAACATTTTTAAGTTTTTGCTTTTGCAGTTATAGTTGTCCGTTTCTAGAGTTTTTTTTTAATTTTGACATTTCAATATATGAAATTATTTGAGCCTTGATTATACATGGACTACAATTTATGTACATTCGCCCGGAACTACATATCGACGGAGAATAAAGCTAGGTTCTTAAACGACTGGCTAGCGTCTAAGCACAGCTCTACATGCTTTTCACCGTCTCTGCCAAAGCCAGGTCTTTTGGTGGTTTTCCTAACATCAGATCGACAAAACGTTACTGCTTTCCGGCTTCGACCAAAACGCTGAAATTAACTTAATTATATGCAAAAATAGTGAGCTCATGGCTCGGTCTCCGTATCACCAGACCACGAGGTCACTCCTAAAAACAGGGCTACTACTATTTATTATAAAACTATTACTATTGTTTTTGTTCAGTAGATAAAAATCATCATCTCCATCGAAGATGGATCAACCCTTTTGCCCAACTCCTAGCTTCTCATTCTCTGAATATGAATTTGGATGTTATTTAAATTCAACACAGGGCATGACCAGGAAACTAAAAGTTTATATGAAACAGTTTGAGTTCTCCGCCCGAGACCCCTCCGGATTCTGGAATCCGGGAAAATAGCACTCCTATTTCTTTCCGGAAGGCTGGACACGTCGTCCCAACACCCTTCCTCGTTCTTGTGATTTGCTCGGTAACAACTGTAGCGGCACAATTGTTACAACTCGGAGCGGTTTCTGACGATTTCCAGTTATAACTTCAATCTGTCGTTATTTTCTCGTAGTTGTTTTCACTGCCACTATTGTTGTTCTGTTTCGCCGTTTTAGTGTGAGCGAAATATAAAAAGGTTACGAGTCGTTCACGTCCAAATCGAAATTTTAAAAATTAGCATATCAGTTTAAACTAACCGCTCCAGATTTGTCTAATCGTTCCAAAAACGTCGTTAATCCGTT